GTGTGTGTGTGTGTGTGTGTAGATGGATGGATGGATGGATGGATGGACAGACGGACAGACATAGTGTATATGTGTGCGTGCGTGTGTGTATGTGTAGATGGATGGATGGACAGACGGACAGACATTGTGTGTGTGTGTGTGTGTGTGTAGATGGATGGATGGACAGACGGACAGACATAGTGTGTATGTGTGAGTGCGTGTGTGTGTAGATGGATGGACGGACAGACAGACATAGTGTGTGTGTGTTTGTGTGTGTGTGTGTGTGTGTAGATGGATGGATGGACGGATGGACAGACATAGTGTGTGTGCATGTGTGTGTGTGTAGATGGATGGATGGATGGACAGATGGACAGACATTGTTTGTGTGTGCATGTGTGTGTGTGTGCTTAGAAGGGTGTAATTGTTCTGGCTGTTGACCAACGTTCAGAAAACAGCTTTTAAAAATGACTGCACCAGTTTCTTTTAATGCTGGGGAAAGGGAAAGAAGAACCATTCATTTCCCTTACTGTACAGGAAACGGTTTTGTTGTCAAAGATAACTGAACTATATATATATATATATATATTGTCTCCTGCTGTGCCCGCTGAGGTCATTCCAAGCTTCTCAGCTCTCCCCGCCATTCATTTATATGTACTGTGTTTCCCCGAAAATAAGACCCTGTCTTTTTATTTTTTATTTTTTTGCCAGCAAAAAAAGGCACCAGGTCTTATTTTGGGGGGGGGATGTCCTCCATTGACTAACCTCACCTGAGCGCGTCACCCCCGGCCTCCTTTTCGCTGTCAGAGGCCTTCAGGAACTTCTTCTGCGGCCGGCAAGGCTTTCCTGAAGGCCTTTGCAGCCGATAAAACAGACTTCTGGATCGATCCAGAGCTTGGTTCTCAGCTCCAGAGGCCTTCAGGAAAGCCTTACTAGCTGCAGAAGAAACGGGCCGGCAATGCAGGCGTCGGGGTGTAGGAGGCCCGGCTATACCTGTCCAAAGGTAAGTAGTAGGGCAGCTCCACACACCACCCCAACCGCACCCTAGCTTAATTTTTACCCGTTCCACCCTGGAGTGGGTGGGATCTTCATTAGGGCTTATTTTTTTGGGGGGGTGGGTAGGGCTTATTTTGGGCCCACATGTAAAAATCAAGCTAGGACTCACTTTCAGGGTAGGTCGTGTTTTGGGGAAAACCGGGTATTTATAACCTAGAATAATACATAGTCTTAATTGGAGGAGAAGTAAGCCAAGAGCCGTACTAGTTTTGCTTTCAGAAATGTCCTTCACTCACACACACACACACACACACACACACACACACACACACACACACACGCTTCTTCTTCAGTGAATAGGCTGTAAAATCATCGGAGGTTTTGCTCATGCCTTGCGCTTTGGTTTCGTTTCTGCAGGGAACACCGTTAGCAACTTGATTTTCATTCTCCCTCCCATCTATGGTGCAATCCAGAGTTACAAAGATGGCCTTGAGAAGCGCTACATAATGGCCTACTTGTGTGTCACAGGTACGTGAGCTTCTCTTCCGTTCTGGGACCTGCTTCGACCGAAGGGTTTTTTCTCTGACTTCAGTGGGATCTCTGGTTTGAATGCCCGCCTTATGTGCCCGCACGAAACGTAGCTGGGATAGTGGGGCACTGTTAAGCTTTCAGCCCTGAGAAATAATGCGAGCTCTTCTAAGAAATTTTTTTTTATCCCACAGCTTTTTTCCCCAAATCTGTTTAGAATTTCATGACATTTTTCTCTCTTGTCTATCATCTGTCTGTCTGCCTGCCTGCCTGTCTGTCTCGCTCTCTATTTATCTATCTACTATATCTATCTACTATATCTATCTATCTATCTATCTATCTATCTATCTATCTATCTATCTAT